TGAAGTAAAGAGGGGTTAAACAATTTGCCCATTGTCATATAGCTAGTCAGTGACAGAACTGGGTTTGAACCCAGACCCCAGCTTCAAAATACAAAAAAATATACTTTCTCAAACATGTGTACAAAGTTTTTAATTTAAAAAAATGTAATTAAAAATATAATTTTTAAAAATTTTATAAAGTGGAGACCAGCAGTTGGTGTAATGGCTATGTCGTTGGACTCCCATGTAGTTGACCACGGTTCGAGTCCCGGACCCAGTGGCCTAAACTCACGTCAGGCGCTTGTGAGTGCAAGCCCAGGATCCCGAGAGGAGAAAGGAGAGAAGGGATTGCGGTGTGGCCATCCCCCCAGGGGGTGATTTCTCACTTTCTGTCTCTCTATCTCTCTCTGTCTTTCTGGCGAGCACAAGCGCCCTATAGCAAAAAACTCTAAAAAAAAAGTGCTAGATAACTTTCACTTTATAAAAATTATAAAGTCATATATAAATATGTTCTATATTTTTTTATTTTCCTAAATGACCATTAATATTTTTTTGAGGGGGGAGACGTTTTTGCTATAGGGCGCATGCGCTCGCCAGACAGACAGAGAGAGCTAGAAAGCAAGAAATCACCCCCCCGGAGGGATGGCCATGCCACAATCCTTTCTCCTCCATTCTCCTCTCGGGATCTTGGGCACGCACGCACATGCGCCCAGCGTGAGTTTAAGCCACCGGGTCCGGGACTCAAACCATGGTCGACTACGTGGGAGTCCAGCGACATAGCCATTACTCTAACTGCTGGTCCCAATATTTTTCATTTTAAACATTTTTAATTAAAATACCTGTCATCTTGAGTTTCTCTTACAATTTCTCACCTATGGCCTTATGTTATAAGCACACATTTATTAGCAAGACTAACTGCCTAGGGCCAGGTGACGGTGCAGTGGTAGCGCAACTGGACTCCCATGGGAAAGGTCCTGGGATCATGTCCCACTGGGTGTGTATGTGCTCAGAACCCAGGCCAGCTGAGATTAAGGGTGTTTCATGACCTGAGGACCCTGGTGTGAGGGGTGCCTGTCTCTGTCTCTCTCATGGAAGTAATAAAGAAATACAAACTGTTAAAAAAAAAAAAAAGACTAACATGATTTAAAGGGAAAAAATACTTCAGTATGTTCAATTAAAAAGAAAAGAAAATCAGAGCTGGCAGGTGGCATGGTGGTGAAGGAGCTGGACTCCCAGATGGCTGACTGCAGTTCAAGTCCCAGACTTGGCAACTTTCTTTCTTACTCTCCTTCTCTCTCAGGTCACATTAAAAAAAATAATAATAATACATAAAATTAAATGAATAATTCCTTTAATAAATAAATAAAGTAAAAATAATATTAAAAAGAAAAGATACTTAAAACTAGAGAAAATAAATTCCTGGAAAAATACAATAGAGTAATTTTACTTTTCTTTCTGGTTATATTTATTGTTACAAATAGTCCATATGTTTATATAATAATCAATAGACTAAAAAATGTAATATTACATGTGACTATTGATCTCATAGTTGATAACATATATAAAATATTGATTACCTGAAACAGAACACCATTGAGAAATGTCTTTAACTATTAGGTATTATATTTATGGATGTTGCCAAGTCAAAATTGGACATCCACAATAGGTCATTCATCATAAATTCTGATTTTTAAAAAATTTTATTTATTCATTCATTTATTTTTTAATTTGACCAGAGACACAGAGAGAGGGAAAGTGAGAACGCCAGCCACCAGGTCTGAGACTCAAATCATGGTTGGCCATGTAGGCGTGTCCAGTGCCTTAACCACCACACCATCTGTTGGTCCCCATAAATTCTGTTTAATGATTAAATGAGAGACAGAAAAAGCCATGTAGAAAATAAAATCTGCCTCATCATCCTCCCACGATTCTTCCACACTTAAATTAATTTTATAAGAGTCTTATCACATGCATATTTAATATTTACATGCCTTTCTGGTAGACATCTTCTCAAGGAACTAAAAACAAAAAAAAGGATAGAACATTCGTTAGATTGGCAAGCAAAAATTGGACAGTCCTCCCCACAACTACTACCAAACTCAAATTCAAAATCTCACACTTTGACATATACCTTCCTATAAAAAAAAAAAAAAAAGATTTGCCATAGGGCATGGGTGCTCGCCGGAGGGAGAGAGAGAGAGACAATGAGAGGGAGAGAGAAATCACCTCCAGGAGGGATGGCCATGCCACAATCTCTTCTCCCCCATTCTCCTCCTAGGATTTTGGGCACACATGCAAACGTGCCCAGTGTGAGTCTCAAGCTGCCAAATCCAGGACTGGAACCAGAGCTGACCACATGGGAGTCCAGCACCTTAATCACAACGCCACCTGCTAGACTCCAAATACCCTTTTACTTACACAAGATCACACATTGATAATCCGACCATGACAGATATTGGTCTTGGAAGGGTAAGCACAGCATCAGAAATACTGAAACTGAATTCACACCTGCCTGTTCCCAGGCCTGGTCCAGCCCAGCACAGCACAGCCTTACAGTTCCCTTCCCTGCTGACAAAGGTCTGGGATCCGTCTGTGTAGTAGATAAGCCAGCAACAGATACCGGGATGGGTATGTAAGTATTGTACACATGTGTGCTTGTGTAATGCACGCGCATGCTCATATATGCAGCATACACATACTTATGGGAGCAGAAAAAAGAACGAATGCTCACCTGTAAGTTCGAGTCAGTAATGACAGCATGCACACACACACACTCTCTCTGCATGTGTACGTATGCGCGTGCATATGTATCTGATTTCCAACAAAAGCCTTCCTCCTCTCTTTTAGTTGAAATCTTATTGATCCAACAGAGGATATGAGATGTAAGAATAAAGGGACAAAATACAGCAGGTTTGGAATCACAGATGTTCTCATAGGACTCCGCTGTTGCCAGGGGCACTGTTTCTCTTTAGTGAGTGTAACTGAAAAGGATAAAGCCAGTCTGTCAGGCGTGCTTTCTTCTACCCAAAAGTGAACTAAATGTTCATGGATGAATGGATTGGACCAATAGGGAACAAATCAAAATGAAAAAAAAAAAGTCTGTTTTGCCACTAAAATGTTACAGTAGACATGTGAGTCACAGTAACATCAGAGCAAATAAGGAGATGTGTGTGTGTATGTGTATATATATATATACATACACACACATGTATCACATAATTACATGTTTACATATATATAATATATATAACCACTCAATTATGTAATAACATTAAAATACATAAGCATATTTTATTAATATATATTACATGCAGGCATATATAAAAATATACTTACATGGGACCAGCAGCTGGCATAATGGCTATGTTGCTGGACTCCCATGTAGTAGACTGCGGTTTGAGTCCCGGACCC